ATGCATGGCAGCACATAAATATCTTTAAATATGAAAACTGCTCTAAAGTCAATGGTGCATTTTGCTGTTAGGTAGGGGTGTAGCGAATCACGGTTGATCCGGGATTAGTACAGAATTAGGCCTGCAGATTAATACATTTTATTTACTTTACTAAATTTATAACGATAGCCTCTTGCAGCATTCAAATCACACGTATGAAAGCATTATAACCTGCAAAATATAATGATGACAGAAAAAGTTGTGGTGGGTTATAGGGGATGCGGTGGGTTTCTTAGGTTATTAAAGGTGTTTTCTGTCACTGCTCGTTTAGCCTGCATTCAGAGTAAGCTGCACGATTAATCATTAAAAGAGATCGGGATCTCAACACCCACGCAACATTAATTATAATGTATTGTAATGTGTATCTATATAGCGCCCCACCTAATAATACAGGAGCCAATCATTGATCACTACAGACTGACATTTCTCCAAGGGGAGAACTCAGATCAGACGTGTGCTTTTACAGCAGTTTGGTGGTCAACAAACACACTGGAATCTCAGCAAATACTTGCTTCATAGACATAATAAATGTATCCACATAAAGCTTAACATCTGTGCTTTTAAATGAACCAAGTGCACTTGAAAACTAAAGTGTCTAGTTTTGAAATCTGTGTAATAAACAGGAGATACAGTCCATCCTGTCAAATGCACGTCACATGACAGAAACCACTCAAACGCCCACAAACGTGTAAACAAAGAGTCGCTGTCATTTCTGCAGGAGATTCACCATCAAGACTTCAGAAGAGCAGCGTGATCTGGCGATCATTATCCAGAGGATGATAATGTGTAATACGGCCATAAAAGAGGTTGGTGTCGTGATCTCGTTTCTTTTAAGTGTGCATGCACATTAGCTTGGACAACCTGAAAATATGCCGATTTTATTTGATTCAGACGTTTAGAAACAAAACTTATGAGACAGCTGTTGTTTAACCTTATTGGTGATTTAAAATATGTAATGTAATCGTAAGCTTGGCTAACAGTTTTGGAGAATTTGATGCTTCCCCATTCTAGCAGAATTCCCGAGCGGCGTTTCAACGAGTGAAATGACTTGCCTTAAAGGGACTTTGGTAATAGGCAGATCCAAAACATCCACACATGTTGCTTATTACTCTCACAGGGATGCACAGCATCACATAGATATCTTTAAATATAAAAAATTTAAATGCTAAAATAATATTAGTCGACATAAAAGGGACGCTTCACGCTGTGTTGGGGCCCCCAGAATTAGGGTTAGGAGGCCCAATTAATCCCAAATCCTTCCAACACAACCACAGTCGTCTACACTTTTTGTCTGCTAAAAATCCTGTCATCATTTACTTATCCTATATATACTCGTTTCAATCAATCCCCATACCGTCCAACACAACAACCCGCCCCCACCTCCCGCTCTACACTTTTGTCTGCAACATCAACCCCCGCTCTCTTCCGCGAAAAATCCAGTCACCATTTACTCAGCCTTATTATATGGGCCAATATACAGCCTACATACTATTTATTCTGCTAATCTGTTGAACACAAAAGACGATATTGTGAAAAAAACTTTGGAAACCTGTAACCATTAACTTCCATTGTTTTTGTTTTATCCCCAAGTCAATGGTTACAGGTTTGTCTACAAAATATCTTCAAAATATTCTTCAAAATATCTTCTTTAGAGTTCAAACGAAGAAAGAAACTCAAACAGGTTTGGGAAAAGCGAAGGATGAGTAAGGGATGACAGAATTTAAATTTTTGTCTGAACTATCCCTTTAAGATACTTTGAAACAATCTCTGCAGGAAAATAAGGAGCAATTAAAATAAATGATGTAAAAAAAAATTAAATTAAATTAGATTAAATTAATGACTTTTTTTTGATAAATGTGGTTGCTAAGGCATTCTGATTATGGTGCTGCTATGCAGATGTGAGATGGCGGTTTTAAAACAACAGTATGTAAAAACCCATTTCTGAGCATTACACACAAAGACGCTCGAAAGGAAAAGTGTGTTCCCACCTGTCATTAGACGCCGTCATCATGGTGTGTTATCAGGCACGGTAAGCTCAGAAAGCTGGATGAATACATTACTCAGTCAAGTCTGGAACACAGTGTTTCTGGACCACACACACTGCTGCAAAACTCATAAACTCGGAGACACAAAGTGAACCGACGTGCCTGTAACGCGTTTTAGGAGCGCATTATAATTATATTGCACGGGGTTTGCGAGGGTCTTGAGAAAGTCATGTAATATAAAGTCTTAAAAAATGTCCTGTGAAAGTCGCATTTTGGACACTCTCACATATATTGAGGCAGCCTGAAGGACTGTAATGAAATACACTGTATTTTCCACCAAAGCAACCTAGAGTGCTGAAGTATACAGTAATTAATGTTTAATGTAGCAATGAGCTGGTTATAGAAATCAAAACAAAAGACCGTGCGTTCTGTGTCAGAAAGCAGAATATCTGACTTCAGCCAAAGACTCGAGAATTCACAAGACGTGTCACTCATTTAGTTTTGAATAGGGAAAAGTGTAACGTCAATATGACAAATGAAGCCCTGCACACTAGTACAGGAGCCAATCATTGATTGATATAGACTGACAGAGAAGCTTGTGCCAGACAGCTGTTTTTAAGGTGGTCAACAAACGCACTGGAATCTCATCACATACTTGCTTCACAGACATCAACCACGGCGAATGAAGCTCTGCACAAGACTTTTGGCCAGCGGAGAAATTAAAATGGTCATGCCCAACTGAGTCTGGTTCTCTCAAGGTTTTTTTTCTTCACTCCCATCAGGTGAAGTTTTTTTTCCCTCTCCGCTGTCGCCACTGCCTCGCATGGTTCAGGATTGGTAGAGCTACGCATCGATGAATTTGCTCTTCAGTGTTTGAACTCTCAGTAATGATTAAATCACACTGAACTGAGCTAAACTGAACTGAACTTAAACACTAAAACCTGAACCACACTGTTCCAGTTACTTTGACCATTTATGTGAAGCTGCTTTGACACAATCTACATTGTAAAAGCGCTATACAAATAAAGCTATAAAAAAATTTAAAAAAACATAACAAATATGTCCACATAAAGCTTGACATCTTTTAAATGAGCCAACTACTAGGGGTGTCAAAATTAATCGTTTCTTCGATGCACCGCGATGCAGACGCGGACAATTCGGTATCGGTTCAGTAATAATCATAACCGGTTATTACTAACATAATTTACCTCATATGCGCTCTGTCGCGAGGGAGACGATCGCGAGTATTTACAACGCTCTAACTACTTAATATTCATGAACTGTGCACAATTTCACTGTGTGTGTTTGAGAATGAAAAGTAACGTTAGCCTACTTCATTTCTCTCTCTCTCTCTCGCTCACTCGCTTTCGCTCTGTCTCTGTCTCTTTCTCACACACAATCAGTGGCCCATTTGACCTGCTGGCGTGGCTTTTCTTCTCCTCTCGACTGTTTTACAGCGTTACTTTTGGATACAGAAACGAGCGCGTGTCTGCAGAGTTTTCTCCACCGTGTTTATAATAGATCAGCTGTGAGATCGGCGCTGCCGCCTGCCGCTTATCTGAAGAGCGCAGCGCGCAAGAGCCAATCGCAACCGTTTTTGTTGAGGGTGTAACCAATCAAAGAGGTGTAAGAGAACTAGACAAGGTTTAAAAATTGAGCTGGATATTTATATTTGTTTATATTATTTGCTAAATGCTCATTTTTTTAAAAGTTACAGTTTATATCTGACTGTTTGTATTAAATGACAAAATTGTATTACAAATAATAGCCTATATAAATATAAATATATTCATACATTTTAATACAAGAGCTGCTGCTGTGAAGAAAATATAAAGGCATCGTCAATGCACCGTGATGCACCGAAATATCGAATTGAACTGAATAGATGGCATGATAATCGTAACCGAACCAAACCGTGAGACTAGTGTAGGTTCACAGCTCTACCAACTACACTTGAAAAGTTTTTCGGTTTTGTAATCTGTATGAAACAAGCGTGAGGTACAGTCCTTCCTGTCAAACGCACATCACATGACAGCAGACATTACCCAAAACCCACACACTTGTAAACAAAGAGTCGCTGTCATTTCTGGAGGAGACTCGCCATCAAGACCAAGTTGTGGATTACTTCAGAAGAGGAGTGTTGTGATCTCATTCCTTTCAAGTGTGCATGCGCATTCAGGCAACATGAAAAATGCAGATTTTGCTCGATTCGGACGTTTAGAATTAGTTTATGAGACGGTTGTGGTTTTATTTTGCTGGTGATTTCTAATATGAAAGGTCATCATAAGCTTGGCTAACAGTTTTGGAGAATTTGATGTTTCCCCATTCAGACAGAATGCCCGAGCAAACTGCCCGAGAGGAGTTTCAAAGATGCCGCCGAGTGAAATGACTTGTCTTAAAGGGACTTTGCCATGGCCAAAGAGCATAGAATCACCAAGAGGCGAAACTCTAGTGTGATTTGGGACTGCACTAGATGGCGCAGTAGCCATTTTGGAATGAAACTCCAATAGAACAACAGCATATTATAAGTCTGTAAAATAAACTGTTAAAAGTGCTGATGATAGTGATAGCAAGTGTTGTATTGTCGTCTTTCAGGTTGTATCTCAGCTTTAATGTGCTTTATGAATGAATAAATAAATAAAAAGCAAAGTAGCTGCTTGCAATAAGACTCAATGGAAGACAGAACGCTTCCACTCCAAAGTGGCGGAATCCGGGGCTGCTGCTGGGCGCTGCTGTTGCAATGGAACGTTCCATTAAGTGGTGCCTCCTGGTCATTCTAAGCTTTCTGCCATGGCTTCCATGGCCATCCATCACCTAGCAACAGCTGTACACACAACAGCAGCTTGATGATGCAAGTGTACCAGGGTTCAGATGGAAAACAACTGAACTTGGGTTCGGACCATGGCAATCGAAACAAGTGTGAAATCACCCTGAACAGTCTTAAACTTACCTTCATAGAACCTGCAGAAACCCTGATTGCAGTAGAATTTGTTTTTTTTTTTTATTAATATAAAGGCCACTTTTTTTTCTTTGACCATACAGATATTTGCAGACCATGTGAAAATAAACGAAAAGACTATAGAACAAAATACTTTTTATATAAAAATGTATTTAATGTGTTGGTTTCATATGTTTCATACCCAATAAGATGATGACATCATGTCACATCACATCCGCATGTAGGCCACCTGTAGAGAGGATGAATAGACAATGTTCAGAAAACCACAAAAGCTACAGTATAGTATAGTATGCATACAAAAATGTAGACCTGGGCTTATTTTCCCAGTGCATTGTTGGCAGTTTGCTATTTTTAAGCATCTAAAAAACTGAAGGCTGATGTAAAGTAAGTGGCAAAGTTATGGTCTTCTTTTTATGTAAAAAAAAGTGATAGGTGGGTCCAAAACATACATGCATGTTGCTTATTACACACAGGGATGCACAGCAGCACATAAACATCTTTAAATATGAAAATTAAATAAACTAATACACTAATTAATAAACTAAATAAACTAATAGACTACACTTTTTATGTAAAAATGTATTTAATGTGTTGGTTTTACTATATGCAATAAGAGGATGACATCACGTCACATCCGCATGTAAGCTACAGTATAGTAAAGTGTGCATAAAGCACAACGATGTAGCCCTGGGCTCATTTTGCCAATGAGCCTGTGTTTAACATAAACATTTTGTAATGAGCGATACACATCTATGTGCACTGAGCAACGAGTTTACAAAAAATGACTGTAGAGAAAATGACTGTATGATCTTCACTCAGGCCTCGAGTTCAGTGATGGATGATGTTAAACTCTCGCTCAAGGATTCTCCACAAGGTCTTTCAGTCGCTTTACTGCACCAGTAACTCACACACTACTCTAAACAGGCCGTCAAAGCAAAATTAATGGATTAAATAAATCATGCCATAACCAGAAACCTACTTCACTATTGCAATACATTACATTACTACTACTACTACTACTACTACTAATATTTATTAATAATAAAAACATTTTATTCAGCATAGACATATTCTAATGATCAAACGTGATAGTAAAGACATTGGCAACACTTTAAAATAATGGTATATTAGTTAATGTTAGTTACTAACATCAATGAACAATAAGTAATACACAAAGTGAATATAAAGTAAAATTTTTCATAAATAATACTGTATTAATTTTTATTATGCTGGAACAGTGTGATATGGCATTATCATTAAAAACCTTTAGTTTCATTGTCAAGTCATTTGAGTTATTAATTTGTATTCTTTCTCCTAAAAAGCAAAAGCATTCTAAATTCTTTAATTACTCAGTCATTTTAATTAGGATGATCCCTTAGCTAAATGCTACCTATGTAGACGCTATGATTTGGAACAGTATATAAGTCAGTATTATTATGACTACAGTAAAACTATTATACGAATTGCCAAGAAAAATAAAAAACGTAAATTAAAAAAAAAATATTACAGGGACTACTTTATATTATAGGAACTACATGATAAAAATAATATCAATAAAAATAATACCATAATAATAATAATAATAATAATAATAATAACAACAACAACAACAACAACATCAATAATAATAATATTAATAATAATATTATCAATAATAATAATAATATCAATAATAATAATAATTATCATAAAATCAATAAAATTATATCAATAATATTAACATCAATAATAATAATAATAATAATAATAATAATATCAATAATATAATAATATCTATAATAATAATAATAATAACAATATTAATAAAAATTGCAATATCAATAATAATAAATCAATAATAATACTAATAATAATATCAATAATAATAACAATATTGATAATAATTATAATAATATCAATAATAAAAATAACAAAAATGTTAATATTCATAATAATATAAATAATATTAATATCAATAATACTAATGATAATATCAATAATAATATCAATATTAATAATAATATCAATAATAATAATGATAATATTTTCAACATTATGACCATTAACTGCCACTATACAAATCGGCAAGAAAAATCTAACGTCTAAATGGAACTACTGTGAAAAATTTCATGCTCTATTAAACGTCGATATATAAACAGAGACAAAATAATTCTGACTTACAAAAGAGAAAGCAGGCTTGTTCCCTCACACCTCAAATTTTATAGAGACAGTTCTCAAGAACCCCATTAGCCAGGATTCCTGAACATAGCTTACCCTTTATCTGCTATTCAATGCTATTTAGCTGTCAGTAGATGTAAATAGAAGAGGATAAAGCTTGATTGTTCTCCCCCATAGGTTAAGCCTAAAGATCTTGACAGCGAGTTGAAGAAAAACTGCCAGGAGACAGATGTTGTGTCTCCTTAATTGGGAGCAAATATGCTGAAGCTGAGGCAAGCATCTTAGCCAGGCTATCAGTCTGATACCAAGGCGCATCTGCTTCAAAGAGATGCTGTTTTTGTTCTTGTTCACTATGATTCTTCTCTCACTCGAAGGCATTTCAGCTTAAGTAATGTGGATGAGAAGCACTATCATGCCAGCATAGCTGAAGGTGGACAATTAAAAATGCAGCCAAATGAGCTGACAGGAAACTAAACTTTTACTTTTTAGCTGCAAAGATAAAACACAAACACTCCGTCCTCATTCGCAAACCATCCGTCCTAAATAATATTCAAAAACAGAATTAGTGTGTCCCAAACTGCGGTATGTTGAAAAGAGTATGTTCTACTGACTAGGTTCCCAGATGGTTTACTATTTCCATAGAAATTTGAAGTGTAGAACCGTCCGTACTCTTATTGCTAATGTAGTCCTTAATACATTATGCGTTGGACGTGAATTAAATTTTAGAACTACAAATGCAGGTAAAAAGTGTAAATGAACTACAAACATGGCGCACTGAGATAGGCTAGTATTTAACAACAGATGGTGCGCTAGGCTAGTGTTTAACAGCGGACGGTGCCCTAGACTAATGTTTAAAAGCAGATGGAGGTCAAGGCTAGTTTTTAATAGCCCTCTGCTGTTAAAAACTAGCATAGAGGGCCGTCTGCTGTGAAAAACTAGCCTAGAGCAACATCTGCTGTTTAAAACTAGCCTAAAGCACCATCTGCTGTTCAAAACTAGCCTAGAGTGCCATCTGCTGTTAAAAACTAGCATAGAGGGCCGTCTGCTGTTCAAAACTAGCCTAGAGCGCCATCTGCTGTTAAAAACTAGCCTAGAGCACCATCTGTTGTTCAAAACTAGCCTAGAGCACCATCTGTTGTTAAAAACAAGCATAGAGTGCCGTCTGCTGTTCAAAACTAGCCTAGAGCAACATCTGCTGTTCAAAACTAGCCTAGAGCACTGTCTGCTGTTCAAAACTAGCCTAAAGCACCATCTGCTGTTCAAAACTAGCCTAGAGCGCCATCTGCTGTTCAAAACTAGCCTAGAGCGCCATCTGCTGTTCAAAACTAGCCTAGAGCACCATATGCTGTTCGAAACTAGCCTAGAGCTCCATCTGCTGTTAAAAACTAGTATAGAGGGCCGTCTGCTGTGAAAAACTAGCCTAGAGCGCCATATGCCGTTCAAAACTAGCCTAAAGCACCATCTGTTGTTCAAAACTAGCCTAGAGCGCTATCGGCTGTTCAAAACTAGCCTAGAGCACCATATGCTGTTCAAAACTAGCCTAGAGCGCCATCTGCTATTCAAAACTAGCCTAGAGCGCCATCTGCTGTTCAAAACTAGCCTAGAGCGCCATCTGCTGTTCAAAACTAGCCTAGAGCACCATGTGCTGTTAAACACTAGTCTAGAGCACCCTCTGCTGTTCAAATATAAGCTCAGAACCATTTTTCTCAGAAAACATATTTCTAAAGGTGCTGTTGACTTGAAGAATTCCAAATGCTCACTTTTCTGTTTTGCATTTACTGTGTCACCACAGTACCTTTCTACTGTACTCTATACTTTTCAAGGCGGTTTTTGCTCTTTGTATTGAGTTTCTCAAGCTGCTGTTTCTGTTAGATGGATATCAGTTGTTTTAGTTCTTGTTGCATGGATTTTATGTGTGTGTGTGTGTGTGTGTGTGTGTGTGTGTGTGTGTGTGTGTGTGTGTGTGTGTGTGTGTGTGTGTGTGTCTGAACGTGCAAGTTTTTTTTGTCAGAAAGTAAAAATGCACTGGGTATTTTGTAAGCATTGAGTTTAGGGTTAGAATTGGCAAAGGGCCAAATACAGTGTGCACAATGTAAAAATCTATGGAATGTCCCCACAATTCACAAAAACAAATACGTGTATATATATATATATATATATATGTGTGTGTGTGTGTGTGTGTGTGTGTGTGTGTGTGTGTGTGTGTGTGTGTGTGTGGTCAGAGTGGTGTGTGACCTGAAAGGAGTTCATGCAGCGCAGGAATGCAGGCAGTCTGAAGGTGCTGGACGTCAGAAGTGTCTTGAGCTCCTCACATGAGCGCTGCGGGAGGGGAAGTGGGTGAACGCTGATGTCCTTCTCCCACACATCCACAACACTACACATCAGGGAAAAACAGAGATGCTGAGAGGGAAATCAAGCTTTGCTCTAATCATATTACTCCTTTCTTAGAGAGGAAAAAAACTGGCTAATGTGTAAGATAATTGGCTGAAGTGGAGCAGAAATAAGCTAGAATCTACTTACAGTTGAAGTCAGAAAGATTCGCCCTCCTGTGATTTTTTTTTCAAATATTTCCAAGAGCAACAGAGCAAGGAATTTTTCACTGTTTTTCCTATAGTATTTTTTCTTCTGGAGAAAGTCTTGCCTAATTAACCTAGTTAAGCCTTTAAGCTGAATATTAGTATCTTCAAAAATATCTAGTAAAATATTACATGCTGTTATCATGACAAAGATAAAAGAAGGTTATTAGAAAATAATTATAGGGCCCTATTATACACCCGGCACAATAAAGCGCAAGGCGTGTTTGGCGCAATTTGTTATTTTTAGACCAGCACAATCATAATTTTCACGTTTTGCACCACGTTGTTTAAATAGCAAATAAAGTCAAGAGAAAGTGGAGAGGCCGACTGGAGGAGGCTTGTTCTTTATCCTCATGCTGCAGATGGTCTGTTTAATTGTTTTCTCACTAGTGAAGCATTCGGTTTTTCCACTTACAAAGTCCGCCATGTGAATAGCAAATGCACTATGAAGCGACGCAACTGATTCTTAAAGGCAATGGGAGATGAGACATTGATTGGTTTAAAGCACGTTATGCTCAAAACACACCCAGAACTCATTAAGACAGGCATGTCCAAACTCGTTCCTGGAGGGCCGGTGTCCTGCAAAGTTTAGTTCCAACCCCAATCAGACACACCTGGGCTAGCTAATCAAGCTCTTACTAGGCTTTCTAGAAACATCCTTGCAGGTGTGTTGAGGCAAGTTGGAGCAAAAATCTGCAGGACACCATCCCTTCAGGACTGAGTTTGGACACCCCATGCATTAAGAGAATAAGCACAACACTGTTAGACCATGCATATACCAGAGCGTATTTTTCCATCGTTAAAGTAGCAAAAGTGGATTCAGACACGCCGTTAAAGTATTTGTGCCATGCGATTTAGACTTTGAGCCTAGATCAGTAGTGCTCTACCCTGTTCCTGGAAATTGACCTTCCTGCAAAGTTCAGCTCCAACCAGAGCCGGTGCGTCCATAGAGGCGACCTAGGCGGCCGCCCATTGCCTTAAAGAATAGAGAGGGCGGCATCCGCAACACTACTTTCACCACCCGCGCCCTCAGTTATATCCGAGTCTAGGAAGGCAGAATAGAGAGGGCAGCGATAGCTAACCCCCCCACACTTTCACTTTAGTGTTGAAGGCAGCGTCACCGTCCTTAGCCTTGAGCGGCAGTTGCTCCGGCCCTGGCTCCAACCCTGATCGAACACACCTGAACCAATTAATTAGGACCTGAACAACACTTGATAATTACAGGCAGGTGTGTTTGATATGGGTTGCAACTGAAATCTGCAGGAAGGTTGATCTCCAGGAACAGGGTTGGTCACGCCTGGCCTAGATGGTTGAAATAGAGCCTTAAAACTATTTGTTAAACCCACATGAGATGTGTACTGCTAATCTTGTGCAGGACTCAACTCAACTCAGGTTTAATTATACAGTGATTTTCACATTAATTATAGTTTCAAAGCAGCTTTAAAAAACTTTAGAACTTTAACTAATTAACTAGTAACTGATAGCTTTTAATAGTTAAACATTTATATATACTAACATAGCTATGTATTATAATATCAATGTGCTTTTATTTGGTAAAATAAAGGCTACAATAATATCAACCCAGGCTCATTCTGATTATGTACCCCTGTATACATTTCTGGAGAACGTAAATATGTCCCAGGAGGTAATTTATTTTTATTTTTTGCAGTGTTTGTTTTCGCAAATCCACCAGAGGTCGCTGTGTATGCTTTTTCAGATCTCAAATTTCTCTCGCGAGTGCCATTCGCACCTGCTGTTCCTACGTAAATACACTGTCAACTGACTGACTGACTGACTCCTCCTCCTTTCCTAAAGACTTTTATTTTAGGAGAGTTGAGCATCTGGCAGAGACCTTAGATAATATTAACCTTGAAATGGTTCTTAAAAAATTAAGAACTACTTTTATTCTAGCCAAAATAAAACAAATAAGACTTTCACCAGAAGAAAAAAATATTATAGGAAATACTGTGAAAAATTCCTTGCTGTTTAATGTAATTTGGGAAATATTCAAAAAATAAATATAATTTAATATAATAATAATTTTGACTTCAACTGTATATATTGTGTCCACCACAGCTTATCAATTCTGAAAATGCTAAATATATTTGCTAATTATTATTAAAATTGAAATGTTTTTCAATGAAAACTGTTAATTTAGTTTTTCATTTAAAGACAATGATCATTTTAGTCTTAGTTTTAGCTTACAAGAACTCTGAAGACTGAATGTTTCTTCTCAGGCTGCAGAAGACCAATAATAATAATGTTTTGCTCAGGCAAAACAAAAGTGAAGGTGAAAACAGAAGCTCTGCGCAAAAACTGCAGCCGCACACAGACTGCTGGACCTTAAATGATCTTCATCTGACAGTTTGAGACATTACAGTTTTAATCACGTCACAGCAATCTGTCAATACGCAGCACTGAAGACACCCGAGCGCAGCAGCAGAGAGAATTATGTCCTGACACACATTACGGAGATGATCTATTCAGCACATTTCATTGACATTTACCCATCTGTGCTGTAATTACACAGAAAGCCTGCAGGCAGCTCTTAAAGGCACAGCGCACCCAAAAAATTGTAATTATGCGACAATTTACTGACCCCTCACACTTTTTCCAAACCTATTCGAGTTATTTCTGGTAACACTTCATAATAATACAGCGGGAGAAAGAAGTATTGTCACCATTTCTCTCAGAAAACATATTTCTAAAGGTGCTGTTGACTTGAAATTCTCCTCAGGTGTTAAAAAAACAACCAAAGAAATCCATATATGCAAAGAAAACAAAACTAATTAGTTTACAAATGAAGTTATATAGGCAACGCCGTAGGTAGTGTCGTCGTCTCACAGCAAGAAGGTCGCTGGGTAATTTCTGTGTGGAGTTGGCATGTTCTCCCTGCTTTCGTGTGGGTTTCCTCCGGGTGCTCATTCAAAAGACATGCGGTTTATATCCTCATCTCAAAATCATTCATTAGACATTCCTAACGTTTCCTCATTAGAGGCAGCAATCCTAGGACACTGTTATGATAAAGGTTCAATCTCCTCTTTGAACGGATTGTTCATATCTGGCTCTAACGAATCCTCAGAATCAAAACTAAAGTTATGGATAGGAGATATAGAAGATGAAATATCTCCAGAGGATAGGAATGAGGCATGTAAAAAGCTCAGATACAAACGATCAATAGTAGCCTGTAACTCGTACAGTACAACTGGTTAATGCGCACATACATAACTCCTGCTATATTGCACAAGTTTAATGATAATATTCCAGATACCTGTAGAAAGTTTAATGAGATAAAAGGTACACTTGATCACTGTATTTGGGTTTGTGTGAAAGTGAAACTCTTTTGGAAAGGTGTTATTGAAATAATTGACCAAATTTTAATCTAAGAAATTACTATTAGACCCTAAGACTTTTATCCTAGGCATATTTCTTGTCAGCCCTTTCTTACAAAGAAAAGAGGTCAGATTCATAAACATGTATTCTACAAGCTAAACGTATTATTGCTCTTAATTGGAAAAATATAAATGAATCTAGAATAGGAAAGTGGATTAAAGAAATGGCATCGCATATGTCAATGGAAAAGATCACGTACATTGTCAAAAAGAAACAAAATGTGTTTGAAGATAGATGGAGACCTTTTAATAACTTCTTTAAGTACAATGTAAATGTTGCCAGTCTACTACAACAAGAACAAGCTTAGGAATATGGTAGGTATCATGGTCTAAACACTCTCTACCTGATTTGAACATATCCCCCTTATATATATATATATATATATATATATATATATATATATATATATATATATATATATATATATATATAAATATATATCTATTTTATTTTATTTATTTTTTTTTTAAGGGAGTGAATGGGTTGTTGGAAAGGAGAAAGGGGGGTAAAAAGTTTGCTGTGTCTTCATGATTATTATTCTGTAATTGTGTAATGGACCCTTCGCTAAGCCCCGCCCTCCTTAGTTACTGTTGCTACGCCAGTCAAGCTTTCGTACCTGGCACGGCTTTTTTAATGTGTGTGCGCCGGTTTCAGACATTGCCAGGGATATAATGTCATTTTTGGCAAACAGGTGAGATATCCGAGTAAGCCAGACAAAAAAAGGACTACAGTATGCATTACAGGAGTATATTCACCACATAATAGGCAACCGATTAGAGAATAACTCATACGCTAACCATTCAACAGCTTAGCTCATGCTCAGCAGGAGAGGTGAAATTTAAAAATAATAGAATAATAATAAATGAAACTGTGATTTCTCTATTTTTAACCAAAAAGCCTGATAGAATAATGGGTGTGCAATGAAATATAGCCTTACTTACTAACGAGGAAACACGCATGACAGTGCTTTTACATAGTTCATTCATAGAAGGAACAGCCAGAAAAAGGAGACTGATGGATTTGTGCCGAATATTAGCATCATTGACCCATAACAATGTACAGTAAATTACCTATAACTGTCAGTGTGTTTGCGTTCTCTTTATAAATGACTGAAAAACAGCTCTGGGTAAAGTATATTGATGCAGCTGCTCAGTTTGTGATCATATCTCAGATTTGTAATTTCAAATATTCGTAGCTTAAAATAGATGGAAATATGAAGTTCAGTAAAGTTAGCAACAGATTCCAACCCAAGCTCATTCTGGAAACGTAGCCCCGCGGACGTTTCTGGAGACCGCAATTTACGTGGCTGGAGGTACGTAAAGGCCGCGTTTGGTTTTTTCGAGCGAACGCTGCGGGGCGGTGTGGCGGAGGAGGCCCCGGAGGAGGAGCCGGAGCCGGCCGCGGTGGACAACGACCGGGATCGAGTCTAGTGAACAGCAGGTTCCGGAAATCAGGTAAGACGAAAAACGGAATCCGAAAAATAAGGGCAAGAACGCAGCGGGATCCGAAATAGCGGTCGAAATCGAAGACGAGGACTTTTGCTTTTTTTTCTGATCCGGCGGCTTTTCGCACGAGAACGGCGCGGGCGCGAACGCCGCACGCTCCCGAGACGCGAAAAAGCGGCCTCTCGCGGATCCGCGAAAACAAAAAACGCTTGAATACATACCTCCCCGGATGTAAATCGCGGTCCGCAGAAACGTCTGCGGGGCTACGTATCCACAATGAGCCCGGGTTGACAGATTCGCAGATTCGTATTTTCCGGATCAATAACTCATATCCTTATGAACTATTCGCTATTATTAATATTATATTATTAGTATGACTATGTTACTAACGTTATGGCCAAGGCTTAAATAGAGCATTTCTCATAATATAGAGCGAAAAAAGTAATAAGACAGCTGTGAAACATCACCAGCTTTGTGTTTTTGTAGGAAACACAGTTTAGATCTGTTCAGGGTAAGAGATTTGTGAGTTATTGCTGTCAATCACTGAATGTGTCAGGAATATCAAAACAAAACCAACTTAGCTCCGCTCCTTTACCGCCCCTCACACAGCTTGATCCACACTGGCATTTCTCCTCTATGGTTGTAGGTTTTGAAAAGGGAAAAAATTCCACCATCCCGTCCAAACTCTAAGGAGACCGGGTATCAGATTTGCACAATCCATATGCACTCGCTCGAAAGCTTGACAGAGCCCCTGCGCGTAGCTACAGTTGCTAAGCCACGATTCGTGGATGGCGGTTTTTGGGCGTGGCTTAGCGAAGGGTCAATTGCGTAGGCTAAACTGTCAGAAGTGTATGAGTGTGAATGAGTGTGTGGATGTTTCCCAGAAAACAAATAAATTCATCTATAGCATAGTCTTTGGACTATGAGGGAAAGTGGAGCACCTAGAGAAAACCCACGCCAACCTGGGGAGAACATGCAAAAGCCACACAGAAACGCCAACTGACCCAGGACTCGAACCATTGATCTTCTTGCTGTGGGGCGACTGTGCTACTCACTGAGCGACCGTGCCACCGCATATATTTATCAAACTTTTAAAGGGTCACAAAACACCAAAACACATGTTTTGAGCTGTTGACAGTCATATATGTGTCCCACGCTGCTAAAAACACTATTAGGACACCTATATTTCGCTAAAAAGTGAAAATTGGTTGTTTTTGCGTTATTTCAAGCAAATTCCTACTTCCGGTTTGAAACGAATTTTTGAAGCTGCGTCACGGTCATGACATAATAGCGTGTATTCCAGCGTGCAGACTGGACGTCTGTGCCAGAGTGTGTCTTATTACGTCTTACAGTGTGTTGCATTAATGCATGAGTAAGGCTTGGTTAAAACCAATCAGCGCGCTCTATTGTGCAACTTCATTAATATTCATTACTGTCACAGTGCTTAGACGACAGAGATGCCGCGTTGTATTTGCAAAACAAGCGTGAAGTGTTGCGTTTATAGTTTGCTGCAGTGAAGTTTTGTTTTCATTTTCTCTCTGTGAGAGCTCAGCTAGAGTCACGTGTGGATTAACAGTGTATGCGACGCTCGACAACAATAACTTACGTGTCTAAGGAGGATTATTGTTTACCTGAGAGCTGTTCTCATCTGCAAACGCTGAGATCTGGATTCGCCTGTAGTCTTCTCTTAATAAAGACGCGGCTCTAGTTGCTGTGGATTGTCCTGTGTCTACAGATTTGGTAAATGAGCGACCAGTGCTCTTTGTTTATTCAGTTTGTTCGTATCGAACCAAGTTAACTATTGCACCGAGTGTAAACATGTTAGCACCACAACCAAACTTTAACCTCGTGTAGGATTTTCGCCGCATTTAGTGACCAGTATAACACACTGATGGTACCTGCCGTGTGCATCTAAGTTTCCAGGAAATGCTGAGGTTTTTTTTCTCTCATTCGCCGTGCGGTATCAAACATTGCATGAAAAATACACGCTTAGAGCAGTTCCTCGATTCAAATATCTCGTTTGTCGTGAGGGGCATGTATGAATTCCCTAATTGAAAGAGCCAGACTGCAGTTAAAGTCCACCATTTAATAATTTGGCAAATAATTCGACTACAGATGTCCATGTAAACACAGTCACTTTCTCCCCTGTGTGTGTGTGTGTTTTGACTCTGAAACTCGCGCTTGCCCAAATAGACACTCCCACACCATCCCACTTTAGTTCCTCCGACACTGCCCCCTAAACAGAGCTGGACACGCCCACTTTTCTGACTTTTTCCAAAGTAGAGGTGTGAAAACACCCTGCTGAAACAAGGGGGTTTCATGGCCCTTTAAATATACAGACTCTTGCCATCTAAAAGAGCAGTTCTGGGTTAGGCTGTGTGATGTTATGATGAACAGTGGAAAGTCTGATTCCTGTAGACGACTCTCTAATTAGCATACGAGCTGAGGGCCTGTATAAGGGCTCATGAATCATGTTTGATCCCTCCGCTTGTGAATGCGGCGAGGAGGAGAGACGTTCAGCCGCAGGGTTGGAGAAGGGGCAGAATTAATGCACACTTGACAAAGCCAGAGCGAGACGAGAGGTAAAAGGTGGAGAGATTCGTGACGACCTTCTGCTGTCAGAGACACAATGAGGAGCAGAACGGCCACCCACAATGCCTCAGTGATTCACGCGCTCCTCTAGACCTCACACAGGCTGAAGTAGCTTCTTGAGGGCTTTTAGTACACCGTCAGAAATGGCTGTGATTTCAACTGTACAGATGCTACAGTAAAAATCTGTAACCATGATTAAAATATTTTGCTGCGCTTTGGTCCAAATAAATGTACGCTTGGTTAGCAGAAGAGACTATATCGATGTTGTAAAGCCTTGGACTGGTAGTGCAGATGTATTGTACTTACTCTCTGAGCTTGCTGTCAGAGCAGAGGATGTAGAGCACTTTGACTGCTGCCACGGCCTGACATGACTGATGCATTCTGGGATGCGAGTCACCGACGGAGATGAAGCCGTCGGCTCTCGCTGCTGGAGCAGGAAATGAGGCGACCAGAGTGTCGGTGTTCAGAAGCCACAGCTGTTAATGAAATGAGGGGAAAAAAATTATGCAGGAAAAAAAAAAACTTTCAATTTACTCATACAGATCTGCTGTCGTTCTATTAAGTCAGTTTGTTATAAAGTCAGCGATTTATCCAGTCAACTATCAATAAAATTAGGATCTTTGGGTTGAAACATGGCTATTTTTCTTTGTTTTTTCATGATGTTTAACACCCTTACCAAAATCTCAGCTTTTCCATCTGGGCTTTGAATGGAAAAGCGAAATATACTCTGTGCTGCTGAAAGCTCCACCAGTCTCGATGCAAGAGTTTGCTCCAAAAATCTCTGCCTGTAAAAAACAGAATAAAAACAGCTCTGACTCAATTTAATCTACAGATGACAATAAAATGAATGAATGAAGGGATGAATGAATGAATGAATAAATAATTGAATGACTAAATGAATGAATAATTGAATGAATATATAAATAAATGAATAATTGAATGAATGAATGGATGAATAATTGAAGGATGGAACGAAAGAATGAATCAATAAATCAATGAATAACTGAATGAATAAATGAATGAATAATTGAATGAATATATAAATAAATGAATAATTGAATGAATAAATGAATGAATAATTGATTGAATGAATTAATTAATGAACAAAGGAACAAAGGAACAAAGAAGGAAGGAACAAAAAAAGGAACAAAGAAATGAATCCATCCAAATGAAAAAAATGAATGAATGAATGAATGAATGAATTAATTAATTAAAGGAAGCAAATGAAGGAAGAAAGGAACAAACAAAGGATAGAAGAAGGAAGAAAGGAAAGAAGAAAGGAGGGTAGGAAGGAAGAAATGAAGGAAGGTATCTGTCCAAAAAAATGAATGAAGGAATGAAGGAATCTGTCTGAAAGAAAGAAAGAAAGAAAGAAAGAAAGAAAGAAAGAATTAATTAATGAATTAAAGAAGGAAGAAATGAAGGAGTGAATGAAGGAAGAAAGGAATGAATAAACAAATGAATGTATTTGTCCGAAAGAGAGAAAAAAATGAGTGAAGGAAGGGATGAAGAAATCCATCTGAAAGACAGAAAGAACGAAAGAAGGAAGAAATGAAGGAAGGAAGGAATGAACGAAGAAAGGAAAAAAACGAAGGAAGGAATCCATCTGAAAGAAAGAAGAAACAAAGGAAGGAACGAACGAACTAATGAAGGAAAAAACGAAGGAAGGAAGGAACAAAGGAAAAAATACGTCCGAAAGAAAGAAATGAGCGAAGGAAGGAATGAAGGAACAAAGGAAAGAACAAAGGAAGGATTGAAGAAAGAAAGAAAGGAAGGAATGAACAAAGGAAGGCATTAGAGTCTGAAAGAAAGGAGCGAATGAAGGAATAAAGGAAAGAACAAAGGAAAGATTAAAGGAAGGAAGAAACAAAGGAAGAAAAAGGAATAAACAAACAAAGGAATGAACAAATGAAGAATATAAGAAAGAAAGGAAGGGAAAAACAAAGGAAGGACTAAAGAAAGGAAGGAAAGAAAGAATGAATGAATGAATGAATAAAAAGAAAGAAACTGACCGTACTGACTCTGACTTGGGCTCTAAACTGAGCTGTGTTAGATCACACTCTCCATCCTCACTGGGCTTCACTGATATTTCAGTAATGTAGAGCTTCAGCACCTCTGAAACACAAAGGACAGGGAGACATATTAAACACAGAAAATTACACAACAGCTGGAGCCTCGAGATTATAACTAAATTATCTCCTGGATCATATGTGCGCCTTCAACATTTCAAGGAAACAAATACATCTTTCTTGTTAGAACAAAAGCTCTAACATAATTCTGAGCACCAATAATGTCTTTACAGGCCAAACAATGAAAACTATTTTGGGAAAGGAATCTTAGCTGAATACTGTGTAGAAGTCAGTGTGAAAACTATAAACTGTATAAACACTCACCGGCCACATTATTAGATACATCTTACTAGTACTGGGTTGGACCCTCCTTTGGCCTTCAGAACTGCCTTAATCCTTCATGGCATAGATTCAACAAGATACTAGAAATATTCCTCAGAGATTTTTCTCCATATTGACATGATAGCATCATGCAGTTGCTGCAGATTTGTCGGCTGCACATCCATGATGCAAATCTCCCCTTCCACCACATCCCAAAGGTGCTCTATTGGATTAAGTTCTGGTGACTGTGGAGGCAATTTGAGTACAGTGAACTGATTGTCATGTTCAAGAAACCAGTCTGAGATTATTCGCGCTTTATGACATGGTGCGTTATCTTGCTGGAAGTAGCCATCAAAAGATGGGTACACTGTGGTCATAAAGGGCTGGACATGGTCAGCAACAATACTCAGGTAGGCTGTGGTGTTGACACGATGCTCAGTCAGTACTAATGAGCCCAAAGTGTGTCAAGAAAATATCCCCCACACCATTACACCACCAGCAGCAACCTGAACCGTTGATACAAGGCAGGATGGATCCATGCTTTCATGTTGTTGACGCCAAATTCTGACCCAACCATCCGAATGTTGCAGCAGAAATCAAGACTCATTAGACCAGGCAACGTTTCTCCAATCTTCCATTGTCCAATTTTGTCCAGTTTCCTGTTCTTTGCTGACAGGAGCGGCACCTGGTGTGGTCTTCTGCTGCTGTAGCCCATCCGCCTCATGGTTGGACATGTTGTGTGTTCAGAGATGCTCTTCTGCAGACCTCAGTTGTATCGAGTGCTTAATTGAGTTACTGTTGCCTTTCTATCAGCTGGAACCAGTCTGGCCATCCTCCTCTGAACACTGGGATCAACAAGGCATTTGTGCCCACAGAACTGCCGCTCACTGGACATTTTCTCGTTTTCAGACCATTCTCTGTAAACCCTAGAGGTTGTTGTGCGTGAAAATCCCAGTAGATCAGCAGTTTCTGAAATACTCAGACCAGCCCGTCTGGCACCAACAACCTTGCCACGTTCAACGTCACTTAAATCGCCTTTCTTCCCCATTCTGATGCTCGGTTTGAACTGCAGCAGATCATCTTGACCATGTCTACATGCATTGGGTTGCTGCCATGTGATTGGCTAATTCAAAATTTGCATTGACGAGCAGTTGGACAGGTGTACCTAATAAAGTGGCCGGTGAGTGTACAAACACACACACGCACACCTTATGCTAGCCCAGGCTCAATAGAAAAATGTACCCCAGCCAACAGTTCTGTATAAAGTATGTTGTTGCAGGTACGTTTTGTTGAACGTTTCAGATAGCAAACTCACTAGAGTGCGCTGTCTACATTTTTGCGAATTTCAAATACACTACTTAGGTACGTTTTGTTGTATGTTTAGACACACACCCTTCTTGTGCACGTCCAGAAGAAGGCAGAGCTTGGCGTACAGATCAGCTAGCGAACCACTGAGCTAAACCCAACCAATAGCATTTTCAAAAGCAGATGTGGGAGAAAAGTGCACTGCCGCCGCATAGATTTACCTTGGTTTTACATTGCTTTTGTGGAAGTACGCTCCACTGGACTCAAACCAGAGCGCTCTGAAGCCCAAATACTATACAAAGTAAACATTTCACACCGGAAAAAAAAAAAAAACGCAAACGTATTTGTTATCAATTATAGACCGTGTTAAGATGTTTAGTGGTGTTTATTTGGTGTTGCGCAAAGTATTTTTTATTGGTGATTTATCCCTGTTAATATTATTAGTGTGAAAAGCAACAAAAGTTCTTGTCGTCATACTGCCCCCTAGCGTTCACTTTACCTACAACCTGCACTCATACGGATGCTGATGCAACCTGTAGTGCCATTTACTCTAGAACTAGTAGGAAAACTGATGCAATTAAATACATATTTTTAAATACAGCACTTGTAAATAATAAAATAAATAAAAAATAAAATAAATAAAAATAAAATAAATAAATAAATAAAAAATAAAATAAAAATAAAATAAAATTAAATTAAATTAAATTAAATTAAATTGTGACATCTGAGTATGCACAAAAGTGAATTTCAGGGAAAAAAATTCAAAGCATAGTGTCAATTCATTACACAAAGATTTATTATATTGTCTAAAGGAGAAGCAGTTGTTGTTCGTGTAGCTTCCTGAAGATGAAAGCCCCTGCAGTTGCAAAAACATGAGTCCAGTAAAGAAGATGCTCATTTTTGCATGAACTATTGTTTTAAATCAGTGACAAAATACAACCCGACTTGACTAAAAATCTCTAAATCACTAAAAATAGACCTCTGCAAACAGAAAAACTGACTATTTTTGCTTCAAAAGCACAGAAATTTTATAAATACCCAAGACTCCCTTTTCAAAGAATGTCTCTGTGCTGATGGAAACACTGAATGTAATGTATTATGTGTTGTGTTTACAACCAGTGTTATTTTGGTATCACTGATATACCGCAGGGGTATCACGGTGGCTCAGTGATTAGCACATTTATTTGTATTATCTTTCCATTTCTCAATCTGTTTGGTGACTAAAACATTTTTTTAATGAAAATATCCCTTTAATAAATCTGTTTTGTTTAAATGCACCAACATACAGTGCCTATAATCACTGAGAAATAATTAAAATTTTAGTTTTCAACATGGGGTGCACTCAGTACTGTATGCTTGGGTCTGTGCATGTGTGTGAGTGCATGTGCTATATCTGTGTATGTATGTGTGTATTTGCATGTAAGCTTGTGTCTTGTGTAGGTGTGTGAGTGTATTTGTGTTTGTGTTAAGTGTCTGTCTGTGTGTAGGACCCGTGGGTATGCGTGTATGCATGTGGTGTCTATGTGTGTGTTAGTGTATGCACATGTCTGTGCATCTGTATGTGTGTATATGTATGCCTGTGTGTGTGTGTGTGTGTGTGTGTGTGTGTGTTTTCATACCCGCAGTGATCTCCTCTCCCAGCGCAGTGGAGCACCTCCTGCAGGACACCAGCACACGCTTCTGTTGCGGACGACACACACATTTTTCACTCTTTGTTATTTTGCAGCCATTTGCTAAAATAATTAACGCTGATTTTAAAAGACATTTTAAATTATTTAAAATCATTGGTTTTCCTCATTAATGTACACACAGCACCACACATAAACAGAAAAACACAGAAATTTTGACAAAAAAGGTTTTCATTATGGAAAACCCTAAATAGAAAGCATGTAATTAATGTAGGAGAGTTATGAATGAAATTTAATATTGATGATTAACAGGGTCTTTTAGACAGTGTTTAAATAGTGTCCCTGTATCTGTGTTTACACTCAGCAAACAGCAGTGATTTCGGTGAACTGATGAACAGTCATGTGAACACAATGGCCAATCAGCGCTGTTTAAGAACGGGCTCAAATGTTACAATAACTTAAACCGAAACATAACTTTGTACACGAAAAAGCAGGCTCTGTAACCTTCAAGACAAGCTCGCCGCAACAGAAACGACTCTCGCTTATGACGTCTGCTTCACAGGCATTTCACATTGTATGCGTCACCGTCACATTTGTACACATGCTTTAAGTGGATGCTTTTTATCTCCCAAATTCATATAATAACGCTATTAATGTTTAACTGTAAACGTTTCTGTTCAGAATGATTAAAGTTGATCTTTTTTTCGGTTTTCGTTTATATTCCTGAAAAATGTCATTCGTTTTTTGTTTCCGTTCCTTGAACCGGTTCGGAGCCCTGGGATAGATACATTCATATTTCAAGTCAGGAAATGAAAATCTCCCATATATCTATTTCCTTGTAATCGCTATTCATTTCGGCCAACATTTTCTCATATGATACATTCTCAGACATGGATTCCCTCCATAATTAAAGTGTAGGGCATTGAATATCTTTCCAAAACCTCAGTATTATACATGCTGCTGTAGTAATGCCCATAGTTATAAGGGTAAACTCATCTTTTGTAATATGTAGAATCTTAGTTTTGTCACCTAAAAGGCATATCCTGAGTGAGAGAGGGATATTAAATCCCAGACATCTACCTAATTGTGTTAACACAGATTCCCAAAAGGGTTGAATCTTTGTACATTGTCATAATGCATGAAAGTACAAATCTCCTGTTTACATATCCAGCATTTATTATCATCTAGGCATCCCATTAAAAGTCGCACTGGAGTGTGATAATACCTATGAAGTATTTAATACTGTATATATTTACCTCTTGCTTAAGCAGAAACCTTCTTGCTGTGAGGCAACCGTGCTAACCACTGAGCTACCGTGTCGCCTCATGACTAAATGTAAAAAATGTAAATCCTCAACGCTACGACTTGCTATTTTTGCCAGCAGGGCCTAAAAAAAATGACAAACTTCATATAAAGCGACTATCAAATACAACAGCTGATGTAATATTTACTCCCGAAGGCTAAACACTCCTGTTCACTAAACATTTCCCCATTTAAAAAACGTTTTCAGTACAAATCGCACAAATTTAATGATGAACTGCAAGTTGTTTCTCAGTGTGTCTCCCAACTTTATGCTGAAAATGTCATCAGGCATTAAGAGGGTCATCGATAAGAACCCAGATGAGTGTGTGCTGAAGTTATTTAGGACTGAGAGAGTGCTGGAAAGCGTGTCTTTATGGCCACAGGCTACACACAGATTGAGACAGAGACAGAGAATCAATCCCTCTCGAAGACATGATCTGCTCTCCTCCGCTGTAATGTTTTTACAAGTGGATTTCCTCACCGCCTTGGCTTTTATTGCGATGAAAGGAAAGCGTCTGTCAGGCCTGAGGCTGTGTTAGAAAGAGAACCGCCAAAATATCACGACCGCAATAGAAACATCAGCAGGAAGACAAATCTGGGCCTGCTAGTTTTCAGCTTAGTTTTTTCTCTCATAATTGTTTTGCTTTTGCGTCTTTCTGAACTGTGTTTTCTGGTTCATTATAACCACAACTCCACATTGCAGATTCAGTGATGCGACTATTGCAGATTCACACATTGCGGATATTGTGCAGCACTAATTCACACACAGCTACATCTCACACGATGTAAAAAGTGACATCTGAAAATGCACAATTAGGTGCGCTTCACACTGTTACCTCTGCAGCGGCCCGTGTCAGACTCTCATCGCAGCCGTCGTCCCGCAGCAGCAGAATGAAGGTGTCCCCCAGCAGGCAGTCTCCAGCTCGCGGCAGCAGTTTTCTGTTGGCGAAGGGATCTGGATGGCAGCACCAGTCGTCCACTAATGCATTCCAGTTTCCATTGGGCAAAGGAAGAACTCGTCCAAAAGACCTTTAAAGAGACAGTTCACCCAAAAATGAACATTTACTCAATTTAAGATCCTACATTGACTTCTCTGATCTTAATTAAAGCTCTCTAATATGTTTTCCACTTTAGAGTCACTATGTGATCATACTCCAGAGTTATAGGCCGTATGTGTTGGATTCAGAGTCTCCAAGTCGCCAATAAACAGTAGTTAAGATTGTCCTTTTTTCTGCTATCGTGACGTACATCCACTTGAAATGTCCTGAAATGAGAAACAAATGTAGGACGGGGCATGATTTCGTCCTTTGGGACCCGATTGGAAAGACAAAGGGCTGCTAACAAAATGAAGGAAGATTGACGAATGAACAAATTCTGATAGACAGGCCCTAAAAAACTAATAGCCCCTCCCTAAAGGACTAATAGCCAATCCCTAAAGGACTAATAGCCCCTCCCTAAAGGATTGATAGCCCCTCCCTATAGGATCGATAGCCCCTTCCCAAATGGCTGATATAGCCCTACAAGACTGATAGCTCCTCCCTAAAGGATGGATAGCGCCTCCCCAAATAGCTGATATACCCACCCTAAATGACTGATAGCTCCACCCTAAAGGACTGATGGTCCTGCCCTAAAGGAGGGATAGCACTTCCCTAAATGGCTAACATCGCAGCCCTAAATGACTAATAGCCAATCCCAAAATGATTGATAGTCCGAACCTAAAGAACAGATGGCCCCACCCTAAAGTATTGATAGCCCCTCCCTAAAAGACCGATAGACCCGCCCTAAAGAATGGATAGCCCCTTTCTAAATGGCTGATAAAGCCCTAAAGGACTGATAGCCCCACCCTAAAAGATGGATAGCGCCTCCTCAAATGGCTGATAGTCATTTGATAGGACTATCCATCATTTAGTGCCCTAAATGAGTGGTTGTCAAAGTGGGGGTCGGGCCCCCCGAGGGGTCGCGGGGAAATAAAGGGGGGGTCGCCTGGTGATTTCCAAAAATCTATTTATTTTTATTAAACCATAAGAATTAACATATTTTATCCATAACTATACTGAAAATAAAAATAGTCGTTTATAGTTACTATATACTATATAGTTACTATAGTAGCTTATAGTTACAGTTCTATTGGATTGCGACCCCTGGGGTAATTACATTATATTAAAGGCAGCAATAGCGTCAGATGCATTTTGATTTTATAACATCAGGTTATACTTTCTGGCACATTTAAAGCACTGACACAAATTTAATTGGTGTGTCTGCGTCATTGCATGCAAGGTTTCTGTATTTATAACCACCTTAGAGGATATTGGGGGTCGCGAGTCACTGGCATTGTTATTTTGGGGGTCGCGGGCTGAAAAGTTTGGGAACCCCTGCCCTAAATGATGGATAGCCCCTCCCATAAGGATTCATAGCCCCACCCTAAAAGACAGATAGTCCCGCCGTAAAGGATGAATAGCGCCTCCCCACACGGCTGATATTTCTCTAAATGACTGATAGCCCTTCCCAAAAGGATTGATAGCCTCACCTTAAAGGACTGATGGTTCAGCCCTTAAAGATGAATAGTGCTTCTCTAAATGGTTAATATCCCCACCCTAAATGACTGATAGCCTCTGCCAAAAAGACTGATAGCCCTACCCTAAAGGACTGATAATCACGCCCTAAAAGATGGATAGTGCCAACCCCAATGGATGATAAAGTCCTAAAGGACTGATAACCCTAGCCTGAAGGATGGATATTCCCGCCCTAAAGGACGGATAGCACCTTCCCAAAAAATTGATATCCCTGCCCTAAAAGACTGATAGCCCCGGCCAAAAAGATTGATAGCCCCACCCTAAAGGACTTACAATCCCGCCCTGAAAGATGGATAGCACCTCCCCAAATGGCTGATAAAGCCTTAATAGACCGTGGGCTAAAGTCAATGACAATTTTATTTATATAGCACTATTTAACACAACCAGAGTTTGACCAATGTGCTGCACAGTACAAATCAAAACTGAGAAAAAACAAATATATAGATATATATAAAAAATTATAGCTAAAACAACTAATTTTCACTGATTAAAATGCCAAATCAAAGAGGTAAGTTTTCAACCTAGATTTAAAAATTGATTTGATTAATTATTTGATTAAAGATTATGTTTAAATTAGTTTTTACAAAATATTTAAGTAATATTTAACAAAGATCCATATACATACAGATACATTTAAACATAAAAATATGAAAAATAAATTTAGATTTCATGACAACCTTAAGCCAAACATCAAATTCCCTGAAAAAAAGCTTAATTTCCATAATCTCTAATGAATGTAAAAGCAGGCTGCAGTTATGCTTATATTTAATAATACTATAATATTCAAGTAATGTTAAAATAAAACATAATATTTTACTATATAATAATATTGATATCATTTTACATAACTTTAATAGACACTATAAGAATAACAATGGATGATTTACTGTACCTCAGATTTTGACAAATAATTTTGACTTCAACTTAAGCGACAACCAAAAATCCCTTATATACCATCCATCCCCCATGAGGAAATGATGACCGAATCTTCATTTTTTGTTGAACGAAATACTCTGAAATACTTTAATACTCTGAAATAATGTAAAAGAAATCAGTAGAACCAGTAGAAACACTGCTGACCTGTGTTGGAGCACTCTGGAGCCACAGGATTGGCACAGTACGGAGTAACTCTCATCGACTCTCAGCTGGCCAATCACACTGCAAGGAGATTCTGAAGAAAGAAAATGAATTATGAATTATGTTTATACAATATTGATAACATTTAAGACTTGCTGCTTTCAGAAATCTCTTTAAAAGGGTCAAATGAACAGCATTTATTAAGGATTAAATGAGGTTTTCTAAGTTTTAAATTAATTTTTATAATCAGCTGACTCTCAGCTGTTCTGACCTATAGTTCAGTTTAGGCTTAGAGCAGCAGGTCATGTTACCAGAGTTTTCTTTGTTCTTCATTAATCTCTGTTAATCTGTTGAGTGTGTGTGTGTGTGTGTGTGTGTGTGTGTGTGTGTGTGTGCAGCTCATGAACTCATTACTCAAATCCAATGAGAAGCAATCAGACAATCAGAGTCACTTTTCCTGGGTAAGTGAGTAAAAGCGGACTGTGAAGCGTCCTGTGAAGCGCTCTGAAATCTGCATTGTTATTTTATGTTTGGCGTAATCTCAACTGAAACCTGAAGACAGGGTGGAGCATAGTCTAGCTCCTCCCCTTTGTAAAAAAACAGCCAATAGAGTCTTGTTTGAATACAGCTCAGTGAGAGTGGTTGAGCTCAAGCGCATCAAATGAAACGCAAATGAGATGCCTTGAGGGGGCGGGGCATGTAAGAGAGCATTTGATTGGTCAGAAGATTTGATTAGAAACTGAATTTTGAAGTGACGAGAATAAATTGATCCATTTAAGGCGGTAGCGACAAACTGCAAGCTTTACATCAGTGTTTCTCAACCATGTTCCTGGAGGACCACCAGCTCTGCACATTTTCCATGTCTCCTTAACCAAACACACCTGATTCAGATCATCAGCTCAACAGCAGAGACTGAAAGACCTGTAATGGGTGTGACAAAGGAGACATCCAAAACATGCATTGTTGGTGGTCCTCCAGGAACATGGTTGAGAAACACAGCTTAACATGTTTTTATCAGTTTTATATCTTCTAAACGCAAATGTTGTCACTGTTTTAGTGCGCACTAGCTTATAGATATGCTAAACACTAACAATACTGATGCTAACATCTAAAAACATATCTTTTTATTTCATGGGACCTGTATTGATGTGAAAGATCTTAGCGTGTACCTGTTGGCTGCTCCACTTTTAGACGTAGTCTGTAATGGGAGCCTTGTTCAGAGTTTGCTGGGCTTTTCTGCTTCTGCGTCTCCACCAGACTGACTCCAGGTGTGAGGGTCACCTGAAAGCTGCTGTCAGGAGTCTGGACGTTCAGGATGGAGTCTGGTTTGGATTCGATCTTCACATCTGCACCACCACCGATGACGTCACTGCTGAGGAGGTCAAACATGAAGTGAAGCCCTAATCATACGTACAACTACACTGTAAATAATGCTGGCTTCCACACAATCGATTTGTGTTGGGACAACATGAAGGAATTCATTCATTCATTTATTTTTCTTTTGGCTTAGTTTCTTTAGTAATCAGGGGTCATCACAGCGGAATGAACCGCCGACTTATCCAGCATATGTTTTACGCAGTGGATGCCCTTCCAGTTGCAACCCATCACTGGGAAACACACATACACACTTACTCTTCACCATCAGCACATGTTTTGTGAGGGAAACCAGAGCACCCGGAGGAAACCCAAACAAACAGAACATGCAAACTCCACACAGAAACGCCAACTGACCCAGCCGAGGCTCGAACCAATGACCTTCTTGCTGTGAGGCGATAGTGCTACCCACTGCGCCACGTGTTGGTGTGGGTTTCCTTTAGGTACTCCAGTTTTCCCCACAGTCCAAACACATGCGCTATAAGTGAATTGAATAAACTAAATTGGCCATACTGTATGCGTGTATGAATGTTTCCCAGTACTGGGGTTGCAGCTGGAAGGGCATCCTCTGTGTAAAACATATACTGGATAAGTTGGCGGTTCATTCCACTGTGGTAACGCCTGATGAATAGTGACTAAGCCGAAGGAAAATAAATGAACGAATGATTGAACTTGAACAAGCAGCAATGTTTTTGAGTGTAGTCTAGATTAAGTAAAATCTTAATGAGTTAAAAGTTAGGGTAGACTCTCTCAAGAAACAATTAAGTGAGTTTATTTAACATAACATTGGATTATTCAACTTAATATACTTTCCCAGAGATGGGTTGCGGCAGGAAGGGCATCCGCTGCGTAAAAACTTGCTGGATAAGTTGGCGGTTCATTCCGCTGTGGCGACCCCGGATTAATAAAGGGACTAAGCCGACAAGAAAATTAATGAATTAACTTAATATACCATTATATTATGGGGCTGCCGAATTCTTGATTCTGATTGGCTGATGAGCAGGCAGTTATTTTCAGATAAAAGCACAGCTGAAGTAGTTCCGGCAGGTTTTTAAGCAAATTACAGTTCCATATCTCTACGCCGAATCTAAATGATGAGTTATTTCACAGCTACAACACACAAATCACATCAGAGCACTCTAAAAAAACAAAACTTTACAATAGACAGCTGAGTAAATCCATTTTTTACAGTCAAAACTTTGGATGAAATGTGTGAGAAACTACAAAAACCTGTTAGATAACCATTTCTCTGAATTTTAAGAGGCTTAAAAACTAAAAGTGGAGTTGTAGCCAGTTACTTGGAAAAACTACATTTTTCTAAAAGTAAATATTACAGAATTAAATAAGCTGTCTGTTGCTGAAATAAAGTAAACGCTGAGGCATTTGTCTCATCAAGTTATTATTAGATTGTCTAACTCAGTGCTTCCCAAAGTGGGGGTCACGAGACAATAACAGGGGGTCGCTTGGTGATTTCAAAAAGTCAAATAACTTTTATTAAACTATTAGAATTACCATATTTTATCATGGAGGATGATCTGTGATTGGTGTTCTCCAAAACTAAGAATAGACTAAACATAGAATAAACATTGTGCCCACCAGCCTCATTGGGTGAGGTTAATATTAAATAAAACAAATTAAAAAATGACTATAAATATTTTAAGCAAATTACAGTTCCATATCTCCAATCTAAATGATGAGTTATTTCACAGCTACAAGACACAAATCACATCAGAGCACTCTAAAAAACAATACTTTACATTAGACAGCTGAGTAAATCCATTTTAAATCTAAAGTAGACAGTAACGTTAGTCATAAAGTTATTTTTCATAAAGAAAATATCATGGCGTTAAATAAGCTGTCCAACTATCTGGCCAATACTGCCATCTAGTGTTTCATTGTGGCATTTCTAACCGTTTTTATCTTATAGAGCTAGTGTAAAAAATAAAACAGTATGCAATAGTATAATATATATAATTCAGTATACTATATAAATATTTTTAAAACCTAGCTATAAACATTTAAACGACTATATTTTAGTACTCTCTAACTTAGTGTTCCCAAAGTCTGCCTCCTGAAATTGTATAACCTATTATTCCAGTAAATAAACTCAAAATGAGCTGTAACGTTACCCTAGTACGTTAAAAGAAATCCCGTTAAAACCCTGGGTGCTAAGTGTATCTGTACATGACATAATTCACTCACATACACTGATGAAACACTGCATTGACAGTCAGTGACCATGAGAGAGCCAAAGTAGAAGAGAAAAACTTTACCGAATGAACAAAAGGCCGCTTTGCAGCTTCTGTCTGAGCTCAATAAAGAGGACATCTGTGTTCGCAGTCTCTTCCATTGGTATTTCTTTACAGAAGCTATGGATTCATCGATTCTACTCTTAAATCCCACGCGACACACAAAACAACGTGACGACAAAATGTCTGCGACACCGTCATTTCATATTAAGAGTCTTCAGAATTCAGTTTGCATCTGTTCAGTGTTAACGTTACTTTTAAAAACATTTTTTAAAAACGCTGTTTTTAAACATATTAGGACAGTTATTATAATTATTTTATTTTAATATATAAACAATATATGACTGGGCTTAGCCCGCTTACATGCTTTAACTATTCCAAAACCTATGAGAACGAGCGTAAACGTTTTAATGTAAATTTCAGTGAAGAAAGATTACAGAATGTTTGTTGTTTTTATTTATTTTTATGCTTTATTTTTATTTAAAAACTATTTTAACAACATACAAGCTTCTGTGGACTTTTACAGTATACGTGTGGGACTCGCGGCAGATGACACACGCGCACGCGTACTGTGAGCGCGCGGACTTCGAGACGTGACGTCAAACTGTGCGCTATCAGTCGTGGCGGGAGATTTTCGAGTGTCTTGTCGGTCTGCTTCGCATTCAGAAGAAAAACATTCACGAGTGAAATGTGGAACCAAGGTACGTGCTTTAGAAGTCACTTTATTTTGGCTTTAGAGCTGAGTTTACTCTGCTAGTCCGCTAATGAGAGTCAGAAAGCTCTGTTATACAGTGTCAGTGTGATGTCGGTTAGCGGTGTGTTATCAAGGTCTGTTTTTAACGCACTTTAACGTTACTGCCAGTCTGACGGGGTTTTTAACCAATAAGTCGTTTTGATTGAAATATGATATTCATATTTTGGCAGGTAAATACGGAGAGGCCAGTATGGCTGGGTACACACAGTCTCCTGGAGGATTCGGGTCACCAGCCGCTTCTCAAGGAGGAGACAAAAAGGGGGTCAGTATATAAATAACTTTAAACACCTATATATATATATATATATATATATATATTTATATATATATATATATATATATGTTGAGGTAAAGTTGGTTTTATATTCGCACATTCGTTCAGTGACAACTTGTGACATGCTCCTCATATTGTTTACCATGGTACTTTAAATATTTGGTCTGAAATCACTTGTAAACATGACTTCAAAACAACATTAACACCATTTATTTGACTGTAAACAATGCTGTACTTTGATAGTCACTAGCTGATAATATGATTTTAGCATTTAAAGTTTGCATAAATACTTTGTGACGTTTTATCTTTAAGGAGAATGTGCCAATATTAAACCCACCTTACCTCAATTGTGTGGGGTTCATATTAAATTCCTCCAATACCATATTTAATTCTGTTTAAATATTTGATTGCAGTTAATACTACTTGAATAATTTTGTTTAAACTACATATATTTGTAAATATTACCCATAGTTTTCTATAATAGCACTTTTAACTTATACCTATATCGTGCACTTTCTAAACTGCATTTTGAAATGACAATAAAGTAAAAAATACAAGTTAAATGTTCACTTCTATGTTTCAGACTATTTTTGTGACAACGAAATGTTAAAAAATGTGTGAAAAATTGTTTGGTATTAAGCTCAACAAGTTTTTGTGTAATTAAACAAAAGCAAATACCTGTTATGTACTTCCTGATTATATAGTTAAAAGATTAATTTAATAAACTAAATTTGGTCATAATTTAACTTTTTGTTAACAAATGGGTAAAGTGAAATGTTTTGCAGAATAGTTAATAAATATTAAGATTTCAAATGACAGGTATAAAATTTGGAGTTTGAGACCCAACTAAATTTAGTGGCCATCTTATGTAACTTGAAGTAAATTGAAATAAAATATTTATTAGTTGTTATTATTGTTTATTATTATATTTCTTTGCTTAAAATAAAAGCGACACATCGTAAAAAAAGTTAAAACAGACAATAGATTTGCTCAAACTATTTTTATTATCATTTAATGCACTTTTTAATACAATACAAGCCTAAACGTTGAGTTTAAGCTATTAAGCTAAACATTTAAGCTATTTTCTGTTATTTAAAAAATAAATAAAATATAAAAGATTTAGAATTTTTTTTATGAAGTATTTAATTTTCATTGCCAAAATTGTCTTTATGTCTTTTATCTGAACGTTTAGGCCTGTTTTTGCTTGTGTAAATACTGAATAATATTTAATAAGGTATATAAATCATATCTTTTTATAGAAGGTTTTTTCAGTATATTTTAATAATTTTCAAGTCGCTGTTTAAATTTAGGCAAACAAACTTATAACTTTAATGCAGTATTGATATATTTGGTGACAATTCTGTTTGTGTAAAAATAATACGACTTTCACTATTTTGGCCTAATACATCTTTTGTGTAGCTGTTAGAATGACCGTAGAGAGAGTAGTATTGTAATTTTAACAGTACTTATTTGAGTCATTATCGTGTTGTTTAAGTGATTATGAAAACAGTGGGCAATCAGTGTAGTATTTAGATCTTCATGTGTGATGCTGTAAAGTGTAACAGTGATGTGTGTGTGTGTGTGTGTGTGTGTTCAGAGGACACGAGCGCAGCAGATCGTTCCCTGTACTGTATCTCAGCTGTTGTCGGCGGTGCAGGCTGAGGACGTCTTTAAAGTGGGAGAGGTGGAGATCGCACAGGTCAGTCTGAAGAATCACTAAATATCCGCATTTTTATTGAAAGGGTTTCCATTTTATGGAGCCAGATCAGTCTCAAAAGTAATATATTTATAAAAAAACAATTCATTCACATATAAAAAATCTAATTCATAACTTCAAAACCCGATTCAACTCTTATTACATTGTATTAAAAGTGCTGCGTTGTATGTGGTTTGGATGTTTTTATTACATTACATATGCAATAATAAAAAAACAAATAAAAGAATTGCCACCCTAGTTTAAAGGGACTGTTCATCCAAAAATGAAAATTTCCTCACTCTTTACTCTCCCTCAAGCGTTTCCAAACCTTTATGTGTTCAGTTCTTCTGTTGAAGAAGATATTTTGAAGGATGTTGGAAATCTGTAACCATTGACTTCCATTGTAGGAAAAACGAATACTATGTAGGGATGTAATGATTCACCTGACTCAAGAGTTTATTCACAATACACAATTTATTCATGATTTTTAAACAAAACTATTCGAAAAAAATTTAAGGTAAAGAACTCTTTTATTTCTTTCTTAAATGCTGCACATCGTTTGCAAAATAATAAATTTTTTGCTATAACTAAATAGTATTAAAAAAATAAAATACAAAAAGATAATAGAAACTAAAGAAGACTCGTTAATAGAAACAAGCTAAAACTGTGACTGTGCTGACATTTTTACATTTTTAAAAAAGAAAGAAATATCAGCAAATCTTTGTTTTCTGGCATAAGCTGAGACCTTTGCACATTTACAATGTGTCCTGCTGATGAGAAAAACTGTTTCACTGGGATGGCTGGTGTGGAGAGGAAAGCCCTGGAGTCAGATCTGAGTTTCAACAGTCATGTCAAAGCAGTCAGTAAATCAGCATACTATCATCTCAAAAACATAGCAAGAATCAGATGTTTTGTTTCTAGTGAAGATTTAGAAAAACTTGTTCATGCTTTTATCAGCAGCAGGGTGGATTACTGTAACGGCCTCCTCACTGGTCTTCCTAAAAAGACAGTCAGAAAGTTACAGCTCATCCAGAATGTTGCAGCCAGAATTCTAACCAGAACCAGAAAATCAGAGCACATCACACCTGTCCTCAGGTCTCTACACTGGCTGCCAGTAGGGTTGTAACGGTATGAATTTTTTACGGTATGATAATCGTCTAAAACAATACCACGGTTTGACGGTTTCGCGGTATACGGTATTAAATAGTAATTCTCATAGCAAAGACCCTGAAAAGAATAAGAACACGTTTTCTGACTGAACAAAGGTTTTTCTTCAACAAACTTTTGAAAGAACCATTTTAATAGAACTATAGAAGTCTTTTATAAAAATAAACTGAAAAATCTCCCATTTTAATAAATTAAATTAGAAGGAATAAACAAGCAAGGTCTTTTAAGATTAGACAAAAATAAACTTAAACTGTCCTTCCTTATAAGCACGATAAATGGGAGACCAAAAGTGCAATACCAAGTTTATGGCTGTAAACATGTATTTAAAGCGTTGTTTTTTTCAGTCTAGGTTGTGATGAAGAAATGTAAGCATGTTGAGATTTTCAGGACTTAATCTTGACCGCTGAGGTGAGAGAATGTGTCCACTTGTACAATGAACAAATAAAAAAATAATAAATAATGTGTCAAAGTCCAAATAAACATGGTGCAAATCCTCAGTAAAAAATAGATATAAATATTTACTATACTATAAATAGTTACATAACGAAACTAGATTCAATATGGAACATCCTTAGGTTTTATGTGCCAGCATGGATATGGTTGTCTGTGGATATGGATTTGGATGTGGTTGTATGCAATGCAGACAAACAGCTGCACCTTCATTTGTGTCTTTTGAAAACAGCAAGAGCAGCAGTTCGTCTTTGCTGTGTCACTGTTTTGTCATGTTTCTGTGCTGCTGTGCATGCAAAAGTACTTAGTATGAGAATTATTTCATGCAAAACTTTTTTTTTTGCGTTTTATTTAGCCGCGCAGAAATGTATGCCTATCTCTCATTCCGTGTTGTTCCAAAAGCTCAGTGTTGGTCCACAAACAAAAGTGAAACCTATGCTTATTGGTTGTGATATAGCGAGTTTGAACCAATCTGGGCATGGAGGAGGGACAATGCATCAATGTATCATGTCTGGTTTGTCCGGAGACACAGTGACGAGCGTTTCTTTGTCAAATCAGCGTTGTCAAATTTTGATGACGTAACCGCACTGATTCCGGAGCCTCTGAAAGTCCGCGAATGTTATGTGATACAGCACTGGAAAGCTGAGATTCTCTTCTTTATGCCAATCTTTGAATTGTATGAATCGGATCAGCGAATCAAAAGTTATTAAACATTTAAGAGCAATACTTATTTTTAGCCGCGGGCGGCAGTCTCGGTCTTTAAGGGTTAAAACCGTTGATATGCAATTGTTCATGGTATGATAATCGTGCACGTTCAAATCGTGGTAGACCGTCATACCGGTATATTGTTACAACCCTAGCTGCCAGTTACATTCAGAATAGATTTTAAAGTATTATTACTGGTCTATAAATC